AACCAGATATAAAATATCTTATAAAATAAACCAAAAAAAAATATTTCATAAGGTAATAAAGATGAGTTAGTGCATCTATACATACTAGTAATGTACTACGTAATACACTTTATAATATGGAGTACATGCATGCGTATACACCATATACATACATCATGTTACATGCTGCATACATACATATACATATGGTGTAATAAAACGCAAATACTATTCAAGCACCTAAAACATATACTATACGACTTATACATAATACATACATATATGCATACTGCCATGGACACCATTCACATACATATATGTATAACGTACAATCCAAATTAAGAACCAATGGCTGGAAGAGTTACTGAGATGATTATGATCATCATTAAGAGTCTAATTACGATCCCTAAATGGACCTATCAGCAACCAACGGGCAATGAACGAAACGGTGGTGTGTACAAGTATATATACGTGCCCGACACCCTTAATTACCTACCGGGCACATCTGTTTGAAGCCAAAAAGAAACCAAACCAGTTCAATGCATCCCAAACGTAGTCTCTAGGAGTGGTGGAGAGGTCGGACGTAGTTTTTTTTTTGGAATAAAAGAAGCACCGGGGAAGCTGTAGTTCCACGCCGGAGTAGTGAAGCCATCGTCACCACCGAAGAAGAAGAAGTGACCGTCGGGTGACTGTGGGACTCGTTTGCAAGACCTCTATCACACCGAGCCGACGGAAGTCTGGGACGCAGCTGCTGGGAGAAACCGTGCGCCGCTGGACGTCGAAAGAGAAAGCCGGAGACCACCCTGTAGGCCGACGGCGAAATTCTTCAGTACGCTGCTCTCTTTTGTTTTTTTTCTTTTTATACTTGGGCCGGTTAACTGGGTTGGATTACTCTGGGCTGGAAATAATAATAATAATAATAATAATAATAATAATAATAATAATAATAATAATAATAATAATAATCTGCAAAATTGATAAGTTTGACATGAGAAATATTAATGATGAAATTGGCTTGATTAATTGATAGTAATCACTTGGATAAATTTGTTAATTATTATTTAGTATAATTACATAATGTAAATAATAAAAAGGGATTAATGGTTTAATTAATAAAACTGATAATCGAATATTGTATTAAAATAATAATTACTTAATTGGATTTAGTAACATGAGTAGATTAAATAAAATTTGTTAGATATTATTGTCACTAATTATGGGATTGATTGAAATAGAGTAATAAAATTAACATAATTAATAAAGTGTTTGGGTAAGAAATAAAATCAGATTAAGTTAATGACGATTAGCTAATTTAAATAATTATTATAATCTTCGGATTTACTAATAATTTTGATTAATATAAATTAAGGAAATTTTGAAATTTGATATTATAATTAAAGGCTGAATTAGTAAGGTATTTTGATTAATAAAAAGTGATTAATTCGGGTAATTAATTAATTAAATTAATAAATTCAAATAAGGAAATAAAAAGGGGAAAATTGGATAAACTATTCAATAAGTGACTAATTATACCATCTTAATTAAAAAGGTGAATATTTAGAGACCGAAATTGAGGAAGGGAATTAGGAGCATCAGAACCTACTGTAAGTTTCTCTGCCAATCCAAAATTGTTTCCTCGTATGATATGCTTATTATGCATTATGTGATTAAGTGTGAATTTTAAATGTGCACTATTTTGGGGGACTAAGAATTTGTGAAATATTGGAGATATATTTTGGGATTTAATCCCTAGTATGACTTTGGAGTGAATTTTTATGTAATACAATTTTGGAGTATTTATGAATGTGGATTTTTGGTGGACGTATCCATTAAATGGATATTTTGGAAAACTATGTATAGAGAAATGATTTTCCAAGAATGAATAATGTTTTTATAATGATTATTGACATCTCGAGAGAAACACGAGGTGTGGGTGGTTAGAGCTATATACCGCGGGTTTAGTTTAGGTTTATGATGATTATTGGTGGCGGGAGAAATCCCGGTAAATATTGGTGGCGGGAGATTCCCGATATTTTCTTTTGAGAACTTTAAAAGTTCTTTGGTGGCCGCGGTAGTAGTTTCTAATCACCCGGGTATCTAACCCATTGTGAGGTAGGGGGACGTTGTCCGAACTACTTGGACTTCTTACTACTCGGAGGGCTTGGAATCCCTTTTAGGGGGTGTGCACACTTAAGGGTGAAGTTCAGCTTGCAATTGGTGGTCGGTGGGAGCCGAAATTTCCGGGATGAGTCGTACACAACAACGATTCATTGGACTCGAGGAATCTTGAGTTCCGTCCATCTTAAAAGAATCTAAGAATGACTTTGATTTTGGAATGGTGGTATTTTTAGCTACAAAGGTTAGATTTTGAAGAGTGATACTTTTATTTGAGATGTCAATTGTTTGGAGCATATAAGGATTATTTTTAACTATACGGGTATTTGAGGTTATAAAGTTGACAAATGATGTTTTTGATTTGAAAAGAATTTTGGTGGTGTGAGTATTTTTATATAGTATTATATGAAAAAACTATTTTCGCCAAACCTGATTATTTTACGGGGTTGGGTAGTACTTACTTAGCTCTAAATCTAATTTTTGTTATTTTTCTTTGTTTTGTTTTCTGCACTTTATTTGTGCAGGTAATGATGAATATGAAGCTCTTGATGTTTGACGAGTCTTGAGAGCGCTTTAGAAGATTAAGTGTAGTCTTCACTTAGTTTAAATTATGTTATTAAATTTTAAATTTAAGTTATTAATTCGGTTGAACTCATGGTGGATAGCCTTAACATCCAGCCAAGTTGAGGGCAGGGTGTGGCGGTAACACACCCTTTTTCCATTATTGTTATTTCCGCTGCAAAACTCTATCTATTTTTAAGGAATAAATCAATGTTATTATCAATATATTATTTCTAAGTATTATTTTGGGAGGGAAAAATGGGGGTGTTACAAATTGGTATCAGAGCCTTAGGTTTTCCGAAGGGACTAGAACACGAGGTAATAGGTTGTAGGGAGAAATTCTGTCACAAAGACGATAACAGTCTAAGCTGGTTGGTGCATAATTGAGCCTTTGCGCTCGTCCAACGAACTGGGATGTTGTGTGCACATCACGATCGGCCTCTTGGCTTCGACATGATTATTTATCTCAAGACCGGCTCCCAGCGCCGAAGTCTTGTTATAGCGATTGGGCTTGCCATCCCTTCCTGGATGGTGACCCTCGCATCTATATGACGGTCGGCTCATCATCGCCTCGTCATCATATTATCAGACCGGCTTCTCAGCATCATCATCCACACATCACGATCGGCCTCTCGGCCTCAGCGTGATTATCTACCTCAAGACCATCTCCCAGTGCCGAAGTCTTGTTATAGCGACAGGGCTCGTTACTCCCTTCCCGGATGGCGACCGTCGCCCCTATATGACGAACGGCTTATCACCGCCTCAGCCTCATATTCAGACCGGCCCCAGCGCCGAAGTATTTATCTAGCGACTGGGCTCGCCATTCCCTCCCTGGATAGCGATTGTCACCTTGATATGACGATCTTCCCACCATCGCCTCATCATTATATATTGGACCGGCTCCTCAGCGCCGCCATCCTCATATTCAGAAAGGCGTCCACCGCCTCGTCCTCATATTCAGACCGGCTCATCAACGCCATCGTCCTCATATTCAGACCGGCTCCTCAGCGCCGTCGTCCTCATATTCAGACATGCGTACACCTCCTCGTCCTCATATTCAGATATAACGAACATCTTGTGGTCTCCGGCGGAAAGGCTAAAGGAGCCCAAAGTTCAGCCACAAGCCCAATTGGCCATGTATCGCTCCATCATCTTTATTTGATGACGCAAAGCTCATTTACGGCCCCTTGGCCATATATCGCGCTGTCATCTTTATTTGATGGCGCGAAGCTCATTTACGGGCCCATAGCCCATGTATAGCTCCACCATCTTTATTTAATGATGTGGAGCTCTCATACAGGCCCCTCGTCCGTACATCGCCCCGTCATCTTTATTTGATGACGTAGAGCTCTCATAGAGGCCCCTCGCCCATGCATCGCCCCATCATCTTTATTTGATGACGTGGAGCTTTGATGACCTGGACATCACATTATGGACGGTCACTCGACCTATCTCTTAGTCATCTTTATTTGATGACCGGGACTACTTATCATGCTGAGCTACTCACATCTAGAGACTGGTCTTGGCCATCCCCTCAGCAGACGGACACCGTTGCAGCTCCACACCTAGGCCGAAGGGCTCACCCCTTTTGCTTCATTTTGGGGACATCCGGTGTACTCTTTTTCCCTCATTAGGATTTTTTTCCACTGGGTTTTTTCCTGATGAGGTTTTTAACGAGGCATCTCCCCAACGTGGACAAAAGGTGTCGACCCTCGGCCCCCTATTGAAGACATCACGAGACATGCACCATTCTACTCCTCTTCACCTCACTACATTCACCTCAAGGAGTGGGGGACTTAGCGCCTCCGTTAACCAAAGAAGTAGAAATTCAAAATTTTTCACGAAGTTTACTCATCAGACGATAGATCAGCACACAGTTCTACTCCCTTTCGCCTCGAGTACTCTCGACTCAGGGAGTGGGGGACTCCTGATAGAGTATATAGACTCGGAACCCCGGGTCTCACGACTATTGGGTCCGGACAGCGGCCCACACACGCTTATCGGATGTCATTCATATTATTGTACATTATTATTCAGATGTTCTAAATTAGCCTTTTATATGTAACCGGGTATGTCAGGCCCATATTAGAGGCCGAAACCCGGATTTCTCTATATATACTCCTTTTGGAGCTTGTAAACCTGGGAATCAGATCATACAACATTCTACTATTCATCTTTCTCTCTATAGCTCAATCTCTCCCTAAATTATACATGTTTGGATCCCTATAATCCATCACAATTGTTGCATGCCAAACCTGCTCAATTCAAAGCATAGACCCCCTTCCTCATCCAGCTTGGCCTCACCATCCGGGGTCAGCAGCCATTTCTGAGTGATCTTAGTTCGGCGGGCATCCAGGACCTTCTCCACCTTGGCCTTAAAAGCCTCTCCTCCTAGGAAGGCTTGAACGGCAGCAACTCCAACCTCTTTGACTTTCTTCCTTAGATCCTTCTTCTTGGCCCTCCATGCATCCTCATTGGCCTTATGAGAAACAATGGTGTCATCCATCTTCTTCTGCAGCTCTTCGGCCTCCCTCACAGCAGCAACCCTGACAGCGTCTAGGTGTGCCACCACCTTCTTGTGCTTGACAGTCAGTCCTCGGGCCTCTTGTTGCTCCTCATTCGAGCGGCGGGAGCTAGAGGCAGCAAACACAATTAGGGCTGGTTCGGTACGGTATACCGAAATTTCAACGCCATACCGCATACCGTACCGAAAATCCGGTATTGGTAAATGTCATACCGTTACCATACCGAAACTTTCGGTATACCGAATTTCGGTATACCGAAAATTCGGTACGGTATGTAACACATACCGTTTTATACCGAAAATTCAAAAAAAAAAAATTCTTGGCAATTCCGTATAAAGTATTAGCTTAAGGGGCCTACCGAACATCCAAAAAAACTGATTTTAACAAGTCAAAAGTAGCATATGACATCAATACATAAACCGATACCAAAACTAAAACACAATATTTAATCCAAAGTAGAAAATACTAAAATTATGTGCTAATATCTCAAGTCTCAACACAATCCATAATGAAAATTAGAATATTTATCCAACATAAATCAATGATAACTAATGTTTGTAATAACAAATCTTTGAATCATTGTTGCAGCTCCGTATAAATAAGAGATTTTTCTACTTTGGTAATATGATGGTCGTCCGCCGTATAAATATTTTATCAATATACTTTATCATTTTTTTATAAATATAGAATGAGCATAGACCAGATTGTTCATATTACCAGGATGGTTAAGCTTTAGCAAATAATGACGGTCGTCCGCTACCCCGTGCTTCGTCAATGGCGTCTTCGTCACTCGTCCGCATCTCCATCGTCAATGCTCAATAGTCCACAGATCTGTCACTCGTTGAAGAGAAGAGAAGCTGCTTGACTCTACGTTGATTTATTTGGGGAGAATTTGACTTTGCACCCCATGTTTTGGGTGATATTTGAGTTTGCACCCTATTTTCAAAATCATTAATGTATGCACCCCAATTCACTATAAAATTATTTGACTTTGCACCTCACCCCTTCACAATTTTTGGGCTAATAGGGTGCATACATTAATGATTTTTAAAATGGGATGCAAAGTCAAATATCACCCAAAACAAGGGGTGCAAACTCAAATTCTCCCATTTATTTGATTAGGGATTTAGGCATCTACTTGGGAGAACTAGAGAAAGGCCGTAGTATTATAAGATGGGTTATTTTAATTTTGGGCCTTGGTATTTTAATAATTTCATTTAATGGGTTTGGCCCTAAAAATTTACAAATTCTATTTTGGTATATCGGTATTTCGGTATATACCGTACCATACCGAAAATTAACGGTATTTCGGTATATACCGAAATACCGAAAAATTAAAAAATACATACCTTTACCGTACCGAAGTGACCCGGTATGGTATCATACCGTACCGAACTTTTCGGTATACCGAAAATTTCGGTAAATTCGGTATTTTTCGGTATGGTATGGCCGGTATACCGAAATTTCGGTATATTTTCCCACCCCTAAACACAATGGCCTGGAATAACAGCCAACCAATACTATACGAGGAATTGACAACAGTAGAGCAAGAGCTACAGTAAAACAGGGAATGAATGTTACCTCAGAGACAACATGAACTGCGCGCCAAAGAGTCGAACGGGGGAAGGGGGTCAGATTCCCGAGCTCTTCTCTGTCAGCAGGAGGGTGATAGCAAGGGCCAGAGAGGCTGGATTAACTGTGCCATAATGGAGCCGAGAGGCTGATCTTGAACGCATAGTCAGACGAATGATATGGAGAGGTGTCGGGGCGTTCTGACTGCCACATTCCAAAGATTGGTTCTCTAAATCGGACTCAACATCAACAACAACATCAGAGGGGTTCTTACCTGTTTTGGCCTTCTTCCCTTTGGGAACGGAGATGGGCTGGGATGCCAGCCTCTTCCCGGCACCTAGTCATGGGAGGTCGAAGGTCTGCAGCCGACGTTGGAAGAGTTGCTGCGCCATCTCCTTGGGTGAACCCACTAGACTTCTCCGGAGCAACTTCAATAGCACCCTGGGTCTGAATCCTCCTAACCGAAACTAGAGAACCCGTGGTAGATCCAGCCTTTGCAGCAAGCCGCTCCAGTCTATACGCCATCTTCTCGCCCCCCTGAAACAGAACAAATTAAGTCATATTCAATTAGTACAGTAAGAAGAAAAGTGAACAACCACGACATCAAGCATAACCGACCTGATCCAAGTTCAAACATAACCACCCAGTCATCACCTACATAATGGCCCATCAAGAAGAGCGCCCCATCAAGAATAAGTTTGGTCGCATACTCATTCCCCCCAGTTAGAATATGCATGATCCACCTCCGGATCAACTCCTCGCACTTGTTAGCAAATGGAAGCTTGTCGTCCGCAGGAATAACCCATAGGCATTTATACCTCCAATTCTTGAAAGAATCAGGGTAAGACTTGGCAGCGAACAAGCGATGTCCTGCCCTCTGGGAGATGGAGAAAAAACCCTGGGTCTCAGAGGCGTTAGATCGAACAGAATGGAAGAACGTCAAGAACAAATCTAGGGTTTGCCTAATCTGGAGGCAGATGCATTGGGCTATAAACCCGGCAATGAACAGATGGGTCATGGGGGTAAGTTGACCAGGGGGGCCCCGTAATGGTCCAAAATGTTAAGAAGAGAAGGATGGTGTGGGAAATGCAAACCAACTTCCAAACTCGCTAGATGAACCCTGAAATGGGAAGGCAAATGGGGCTCAACTAAATTTTGACCAAGGGTGGGGCAAGAACAGATGACGCTGGCCCAACGAGGGCCACAACCTCATTGAATTCAGATTCAGAAATGGTGGCGGCCGGGACCCCATGGGCAAAATTGACATAAAGGTAAAAATGGGTATCGACCCCTTGGAGTCTACCGGGATTTTGGACCGACTCGAACTGACCCCATCATCGGAAAAGATTGGGTGAAGAGGAACATAATTATAGGAAGACATGAGACTGACCTGAGAAAGAAAGACGGAACGACAAAGAAGGCTCCTTTCATCCAAGGTTTGCAAAACCAAAATGCAGGCTCTCAATAAAAGGGCCTGAAGGTTTACATGTAGAAGAAACACACCTTTTATAAATGGCTATGGATTATTCTTGCGGACGACAAGCTTCCATTTGCTAACAAGTGGGAGGAGTTGATCCGGAGGTGGATCATGCCTATTCTAACTGACGGGGAAGATGGTAGGGTGAAGTGGGAAGCCGTGAAATCACACACATGTCAACCGCATTAAATTCGAAATAGCGCCACAAAATAAAAAGGGAAAGTTCAAATTTGAGAGGGCTCGTTACTCTTCTAAAATCATGCCCGACTTATTTTAGAGAGTAGGGGGCTCGTGATGGTACCATGGATCGCAATCATGGCCTAAGAATAAATTGAAATGAAGTCCATCACTCGGGAACATCGAACCAAGCCCATTAATCGGGATTAATAATTAACAATAAATCACTGGGCCTAACAGGAATCATGGCCCACGAATGGAACCCACAACCAGGCTAAACTTGGACAACAGACCTCGAGCATGGGCAGGATTCTAGCGAGGGCAGGCTCGGCTCGACGCTTATGTGGCAGGCTATCAATCAAGCATAGCTATCTGACAGGGGCAGAAAACTAACAGAAGATATGTGGACCTAGAGAAATAATAATTGCATAATAATTGAGACGTTACAAGACTCCTATCATAACTAGATGCATTAAATGTATTAGTTTCATCTCCTTAGGTTCCTGTAGCTCTAGGTCAATAAATACTTCTTATACTTATCCTAAAGGAGATCCGCCTCTGGAATAATAGTATTGTCTCACGCTGCCTAAATTTACCTACTTTTCATAGATTAGTTCTCGTAGTTGAAATTAAACTCCATCAATTTGTGTCATTATTCAAATATAAACTTTGATATTAAGGTAGGGTGCCAAGCCCAAATTAAGAAGAATAGTTTTATGGAATCACATGTGACTCTCTATATCCCTTATGGAGTCGCATGAGTGTTGCGACATGATCTCTATCATTTATTTTTGTAGTGAGGACCCCCACTAGAAAATGAATGGTAGAGATCATGTCATAACACTCCATGTGACTCTGTAAGGGAGTTGCATATGGTTCTTTAAAAAAATTTATATTAAGAGTGAGGGGCGCAACTACTATTGATCCAAAGTGTTCACATGAACACTCAAAGCTTTTAAAAATGTCAAAATATACACCAATTAATTTAATACACACACACACATATAGAATCTGGTTTAATTCGAAGAACTGTAAAGATCCTTTGGGGTAGGGGTCAGGAAACACCCTACCTATTTACTAAATAAAAGTTAAGTATAAAGAGTAGGATGACTAGACCAAAGCCTACTCAATTCAAATTACATAAGGATACCTAATAGCATCAAATTTGAGAATTCCAGCAAAATGCTTAAAATGAACATCATTCGTGTTAATGGAAATGCTTTTGTAAGCCAAGTACTCCGCAACTTTGTTGATCTTTGGGTGAATGTGAATAATAGTCCAATTGGAACCGTAGAGCGCCCTTCTGTTTTTCTGGATTCGTGACCAATACTTCCAATGCTGAATTGTAATATTGGCTATTCCTTCATAAATATTCATATTATCAACCTCAAGAACAAACTTAGTATTTATATTCTTGATGTTGATAATAGTTTCCAAGATTGCATCATAGGTGACATTAGTAGTGTCATTTGTGGAGGAAAGATGGGTCATGTGTAGGGGTGTTCATTAACCGGGTCAGACCTTAATTTAGACCTGAACCGAACCGGATTAGACCGGTCCGACTTTCGATCTTTAGAATATTAAGATTCCGGGGTCCGGTCCGGTCCGAGTCAAACCCAGAAAAATACAGGTCCGAACCGGTGACCTGTTAAATTACTTTTCCAAAAAAAATACTTTCGTTTTTAGGGCTTGTAACCGGTGGCCCATTTATTTTACGAACTAAATTAGGGAAACCCAAGATACGTGCATAGTATCTCTTTAAAGTTAGTAGTAGTTTGTTTTTTATGCAGTACCTTTTGTATAGGTGTGCAATATGGTCTATGGTTTTAGTTTATATATTTTTATGACATTCTCAAGTCTGTTTCTTAAGTTGCAACCTGCAAGAGTTCAAGACTACAAATACAGTCTGCTAGTTTGTAGTGTGCATTACGGAAGTAAACACTTATATGCTAATATTGATATATTAATTAAACATTAACTACGCAGATTTGCACATTAGATTATAGTTTGAAATAAAAGTCTATGATATTATGTCTTTGTTTTAAAAACCGGGTCAATTAGGGTCAAAACCGGACAGGATCGGAAAATTCAGGTCCGGGTCGATCTGGACCGGTGAGTAATAGGTCCGATCTTCGGTCCTCATAAATTTAAGATTCCGGTTCAGGTCCTAACCGGTTCCGGTCCAGTTCAGTCCAGATTTGGACCGATAAACGCCCCTAGTCATGTGACCTGAGTAACTCCCCGTGTCATTCCGAAAAAGCGCTGCATTTTTGGCAAGGTTAGCATTGAGATGACATGTGACGAAGTTGATCTTTTGGTAGAAAGGAGGAGGCGTTTTACAGTTTATATGGCGCGGATATAAATGATAGAGATTATTATTTAGTTTTATGGAATCACATGTGACTCCATATCCCATATATGGAGTCGCATGAATGTTGTGACATAATCTCTATCATTTAATACAATTATTTAGTGTTCATTAAAGTTTTAATTGTAAAAGCGTTGAACATCCAAAATGAGAATTCCAAGCTCGCTATTATTAAGAGTCCATTTTTTTTGCCTTCTGCCTTTCCATATGTCATTAACGATGTTTTTAATTGAATTGCAATTTCTGGTATGATTTGGTCTGGCTTGCTTAAGAGTCTGGTTTGGTCTTAACTATTCTGAACCGATAATATCTAGCCTTTATACATTTTATAATTATTGATATCTGATTTGATTTGATATCTTTTAATTCCATCCAGTTCAATATATTTAAGGAAAAATTGAAAATAATAATCTTCACTATTGTTAATCCGCTGTTAATAATCTCAACTATCGATTATTCCTGGATGGTCCCAACTATAGGGACCATTTTCCAAAAATGGTCCTTGACCTGTTACAACCTGGTATCACAAGTACTTCGTAATTTTTAAATGTGAACTATATGTAAGTTGTAGATAATCCCAACTATAGTTGACATTTTTTAATAATCCCAACTATCAACTCTCAATTTTTCAGAAAATATAGAAATATTTTTATAAATTTCCAAACTAAATAATCTAGGCATGAAAAAATAATTATGAATATTCTACAAATTTACCGAAATTAAATAATTTTTTGTAGTCATTTTTTATTTATTTTCACTAAAATTTCATTATTTCCTTTTTTCAATTTGTTTTTCATAGTCGTGTTACCAATTTATAATTTAGTATTTTTTTCCTTTATTCAAATTTACGTTTTTCTATTTTTAAAAGAAAATTGTGATTAAAATTTTTACAATTTAGATCTTTATTCTAGCTTAATATAAATATATAAATTTTCTATTTATTCCATTTTAGTAGTTTTAATTTCTACCAATTTAAAAATGTAAATGGCTTGAAATGAGGATAAAAGAATGTTTACCAAAAGTTCACACTTTTTGTACCTACCAAAATAGTTGAGATTATTATTACCATTTGGATACACTTACTCTACATTTTTACAATTTCCATTATATCACTTGAAATTTTAATATTAATATGTTTTCATTAAAAATAGTCAAAACCTTCCAAACATATATCCCAAATCACTAAAATTAAATGATAAACTATATACTATGATTTATAGAATATCATAATATAAAATATAGAAAATAGAAAGAAACTAGAAATACTAAAATGAAAAAATAGAAAATTTAGGTTTTTAGAATTAAGATAGCATAAAAATAAATAAAATTTTAATCATTATTTACTTTTGAAAACAAAAAATGTAATTTTGAATAAAAGAAAATAATACAAAATCATAAGTTGGTAACACAGCTGAGAAAAACAAATTGGAGAAAAGGAAAAATATTAGTGAAAATGAATCAAAATATAACTAAAATATATTTTACATTATTAACGGCGATAAAAAATAGTTTAAATTATTATTTCAACTAGTGTAACACCCGGGGCATGCCCCGGTAGTGTTAATTTGAAATGGGTGATGTGACAAATACAGATTTGACCATTGTGAATTATTTATAGGATATGATCAAAATTTTGGCTATAATCAATTTCTTTTACTCCCTCTGTCGCTTTATATTTAACCAAACATTATTTTTTAAGTCAATGGTGTTGAACTTTGACCGATTATATATTTATATACGGTAGTAATGATAATATGGAAATAATATGAAAATGTTCTTTGTTAAAACTTCCTGCTCATAAAAGTATATATTTATTAAATTTCACATAAATATATTGGTTAAAATAATATATATATATCAAAGTTTATCATTTTTATTGAAAAAGTCAAATATGGCTAAATAAAGAGGTACAAAGGTAGTAT